GTTTCTGTGGGCCGGCAGGAGGTAATCTCTACAGTCACGGAGCTGGACTGTTTTCTCCACTTCCACTGGTTGCTTGTCCAGGATTTTCAGCTTTACAGTCTCTCTGCAGCCTATAAATTTAGTGGTATTTAGGGGTCTGGAGAAAAGAGCCCTCCTGCATGGAATTTAGAAGCATTTGAGGGATGCAAGCTGGGTTGCATTGCACAGTGGTGGGAGAGCGCTTGATCTGGCACTGCTTAGGGTGTTTTCTCCACCCTGGCACCCCACATGTCACACTCACTGCATGGCCCTGTGGTTCTGTCTCAGGGATTTCTCAGTGCCTGTTGCTGGGTCCCTAAGTAGGATGGTGGGTTTGTCTCCGTCCCTCGGGATCCCTGGTCCTACCTCGGTCTCTGCTGTCCTTCTGATTCTCTGACTTGCAGTTGCTTTAGTGCCCTGACCTGAGGCAGCCCTCCCTCGAACAGCTTACTCAGGGGGCTCTGTCTCCGGGTGAGTTAGACAGGAGGGCATTGGGCGACAGCTGCTAGTCTGGGCACCAGTGAGTCAGGAGGCTCTGATAAGTCCCTGCAGTTGCCCTGTTCCTGAAAACAGACTGAACACAGGAAGAAATGGCACCAAGAAGGTTTAGGATGCAGTTTATTACATGTGTGAGCCTGACTGAGAGATTTCTCAGAGTCAGAGGGCAAGCAGGGAGGTACAGAGACCAATTCAGTGCATTATGATTGGAGGATTGAGTGACATAACAGGTTGCCAAGATTGCCAAGGGAGTTTAAACATCTCAAGTTACATTGCAAGGCCATCAGTTAAACAAGCATGGCTATACAATGGGAGAAATGTCCAGGCTTGTTGGACATGTCCATCTAGTTTTAGCAGGCATTGCTGGCAAGCTTTTATGTAAAATTTTAATTTCCCTTTCAACCCTAGGTAACTGGTTTCTACTGAGCACAGTCCTTTTTAAAGAACAGGATGCCCTGGCATAATTCAGAGTAGATACTTTTCTTCTCTCCTTCCAAATTATGGGGCCATTTACTCTGAGATCCTTGTTGCTCTCTGGGAGGTAAAACTCACAAGAATGTGAGGTTCCCCTGTGACTGGTTAAGTAACAAGACAGAAGTACAAGTTTAAATACAAACGTTATAGGCCTTTCACATAATTTTCTTTTTATTCATTATTTCAAGTAAAATCATTTTTGCATGTTTCCTATTTGATTTATTTTCTAAGTTTAATAAAATCCCTGGAATTTGCAGGCACAGAAGGAACCTGCGAAGTCCCCCTCACTATCCGCCTTTCTTTTCAGTCTTCGCCAGAGCACAGGTCCTTGTCACTTATGGGCTCTTCTCACTTGGTCTCATCTACTTACTCTGCAGACACCAGGTCGTCTCTCTTTCCTGCCGCATTTGCCATGCCAAGGCCACTGCAGGTGACAAAGCCATTGACGGGTTGTGCTTGGTCGTAGCTGAGGTGGCGGTGAGATACGGGCCTTAGTGACAACTTGTTGCTCTCAGTGCATCAGCCTCTTCCCCTTTCCTGCCCCAGACAACCTGCTGTGCTGCTCCCCAGACAAGAAACACCCCAGAGCAGTGGTCCAGCCGCAGCAGGAGGTTTGTGTTGGACTCTAACACCACGGGAAGCACTTCTGGGCTTTGCACGCAGTAATAAACTCCAACCTCCTCAGCTTCCACGCTGCTGATTCTGAGTGTATAATCTGTCCCTGACCCACCGCCACTGCACCGCTCTGAGACCCAAAAGTGCTGCTTAAAAATCTTATAAATCATATGCTGTGGAGGGTGGCCTGGCATGTGTAGAAAGCAATTTGAGTAGCTGCTTCCATCACTATGTTGGAGGCTCTGCCTGACTGGCAGGAGATGGAGGCCGGGTCTCCAGTCGTGATGGGCAGAGAGAGTAGATTCTGGGTCATCCCAATAACCCAGTATATCCCAAAATAGTGAAGAAGGGTTAGTTCATTTTCATAATTTTCTGTCATTTGTACATTTCAAGCTAAATTATTTTTGTGATTTTGAGATATAAAGAAAAAAATTCAGTGTTTAAGTGAGAGCAAGTTTTGCAGTGAAAAAGGACCCCCTAGATTTATTTGTAAATATCACCCCCAATTTCTATGTGCCAGCCTTCACCACATCCCAGGCCCTTGCTATTTCCGGATTCATCCTCCCTCTCATGGATCTGAATGTCACACGCCCATCCTGGAGGACGAGACCTGCACCCCTCACATGTGGACGGAACAGACATGGGCAACAGTGCATCCCCAGAGCTCCCCCTCCCACCCCATTCCCCTTCCTCATCTCCCTCTGTCCTCACCAGTGTTTCAGAGTGTTAGCAGCCCAGGAACTGAGCAGAGAGCCTGAGGTTGAGAAGTTAAACTGAAGAATTCTTATCAGTCAAGCGAAGTTAGTGCACAGCCTTTGTGTCGAACTGGCAAAAATGACCCCCCCCCATGACACTATGCAAATCCCCTGATGGATGCAAGCATGTGGGGAGAGGCAAGAGCAGGGTGGGAGGCCTCTTTTTGAACCAAGTGATGCACAGCATTGTCCCTGTCTGGAGGAATGCCAATAGGAACAAAACCCACATTTTCTGCAGCAATGCACAGAAGGCCCACAGTGTGAAAGTGGGATCTGTAGGGGAGATACAGCACACCTTGCCCTAACCCCTAAAGGCAGTTCCAGAGTCCAGACCATGTGGTGTGTGTGAAAGTCAGTCTGTGGGAGTGGAAAGACCACTCTGCTTGACTCTTCTCTGCCTAGAAAGAGAAAAACACAGCTCCCACCTCACAAGCGTTGATCTTCTGAGTTTTATACTATTAGGATTACGGTGTGGAGCTAGCAAACAGCTTCTGGTATCTGTTGTTACCAAGTGCAGTGGAAGAATGTAAGAAACACGATCTGTGTAGTCTTTTCCTAGACCTTTTGTTTAAGCACAAAAAGGGCACTCAAGTGAAAAGGACTTGGCAAGGGCAAAAATTCTATGTTTTTCACCTGGAGAAAATTATTCCTTAGGTAAGAGAACATGGGGGCTGGGGATTTAGCTCAGTGGCAAAAGCGCCTGCCTGGCAAGCGCAAGGTCGTGAGTTCGGTTCCCGGTACCGGAGAAAAACCAAAAAAAAAAAAAAAAAAAAGAACATGAAATTTCTGGCAATTAGTTTCTATACATTGGTGAGTGTTCTGTCATACTCATGTCTTTCTCTTCATATCCGATTCATTAGAACATCTTGAAGGGAAGAATTCCCTTGAGATCATTGCACAAAAGAACTACTTATAATCTTATACTCATTTTATTTTTCTGAAAAGCGTAGAGAAGTTCTTCCTGTTTCTACTTATCCTTTGTGTGGATATTGGGCATCCACTGTCATGGGTCCACAGAGCAAAAGGAGATTCCACATGTTGCCAGAGCCAGAATGAGGCAAGTGTTTTAATATTTGAGGAAAATATGCTTCTATGCCTGACGTTTTCCGGGGCCTCCATTCAAAGTGATCACTATGGCAAAGGTGCTTGATCAGAGCTGCTCGGGGACTCACTGTGGACTTCTGGTCCCCAGTGCTGGGAAAAGACAAACACTTTGCTTTCAGTCCAAAATGTTATTGCAGTTTTCTATGATATCTCAAGGAATCAACACATCCAGTGTGCATTGTGGAAACTCAGTTTATGAGAATAAGTAAAAAATATTGTCATGTTTCCTGTAATTACAAATAAAATAAAATAAAATGTGGATTTTTAATTGTCTGAGTCTGTATGTTCTAATTATGAGAAGCAGTCATGTTTACATGATATTCTAGATATTTAAGACCTTATTCTATCTGCTTAAATTGAGTAATTATAAATGAAATGAAAGAAATTCATGCTCTTTAAAGCAGAAAGAAAGCCAATTTATAAATTTAAACAAAGATGTAGGAAAAATAATAACTTGTTAAGACTGGATTTGGGCAGATTTACCCATCTTTCATATTCTTGTGCTTGGAGCTGAGGAACTTCCTTAAACCACAGGCTATTTTTCTCTGTCATATTATAGTACCTGAGTAGTTCTAAGTGAAACTTCAATTGGAGTATGAGTTCAATAGTTTATTTATCAGAAAAATATTGCAGAAAATGATCTATTCAAAACAAAATAAATGGTCAGACCAAACTGATTAAGTGGGAAAACTGAAACACAACTTTGGTTGTCAATACTAGTTCTGGCTTAATGGTAAAGTTTTGAGATTAGTTTAACACTTTGTGTTGGACACAATATTCTCTGAGGTGCCAATTATATACACTTGCCCAATCTTCTCTGAACTTTTATAGTTTCCTGTATTTTGCACGCAGTCTTGTTTTGTTCTCTCTCCATTTCCCAATTTACTTAGAGCCAATTTTTAGTTCCTAGTTGTGGGAAGGACAGGTTGCAGTTTCCCTTTGATTCACAATTCTTATCCTCAGGTTAAATTAAGGTCCTACAGCATTCAAAGAATGAATTCTTAACCTGTCTTCCAGCTTTCCTCCCACAGGTGGGGGGTGGAAACTGGATCTCACGTGTTTCCTGTGTTCTGCAGTAGCTTGAGGTAAAAGGCAGCTTGGGATTTCAGAGACATTTGTTCCAAGAGTCAAAAGTTTGCCTTGAAGTTAGCATCCGTTTGTGTTTCCCTTTCTTCTCATCATATCTTTCCTCCATTAGCTCATTCTCCATTCATTCCTTCCTCTCGCTTCCCCTTTGTCTTTTTTGTTTTTGCTTTTCTAGCACGTTTTAGTATTTCACCAAAAGTGTTAATATACGGTAGCTTGCCTATGATTTCTGTAAAACTAAACCCCCATTTCAATACATTGTTGACTTACAATTAAGGCCTTTCATGATGCCATCTAG